GGAGGGGAATGGACAAGTTAGGAATCGAACCAAAGACCTCGTCAATGAAGCAATGCTTGCTCGCGGCTCTGGGAGCAGAACGGGCGGAGATGCTAATGACGCGCTCTACCAACTGAGCTACATGCCCCTGATGGCGAGCTCCCCAGCTGGCTGAAGAGCCGCGTCGGCTGCGCAGGTCCGCCAGGATAAAGGGCTTACTCCCTTCTCCTACTCCACGTCCAGTTGTACTGATGTGACTTTGTTATAATTGCATGCAACTTGGCGGAGGGGTATACTACACTCGATCAAATTCCCATGATGGAGAGTCCTGGAAAACGAACAGTAACTAATGGTGGTAGTGATAATAATCAAAAAGCAAAATAGAGTAAAGGAGCTTTGCTGAGTGTTTGGTGGGTATGGTGGGTTGGGTTGAGGTCGTCCGAGACCGCGCGTTGTCGCCGGCGGGGAAATGTTCATGTTGGGACATAGAGATGCGATCCCAAGTCATTGAAAGTTATAGTCGAAGGAAAGGGAGGAGAGAAGGGCTGCTGGCTACGCGATACACGCTACACGTCATGTTTTACACTGTTCTGGCTTAGAACCGCCTTCCCGGGCCCTGCTGCATCTGCTGGGGGTGGCCGCGCATCATCTGCTGGCTTGCTCCTCGAGGCGGAATGTGCACACCACCACCGTTAGGGGGCATTCCGCCGGGAGGTCCGCGGTATTGCTGCTGCTGCTGTTGAGGAGGCGGGCGCTGCATCGGCGGCTGTTGCCTGTATCCTCCCGGCGGGCCGGTGGACGCGATGCCTGGTCCGGCCGTCGACGCGATGCCGGGACCCATCCGGCCCTGTCCGCCGTTCGGGTATCCGTTAGAACGCTGCGAGACGGGGCTGGCGCGGGCGCTGACCGCTGGTGAGTGGGCCATGGGCGACGGAGCGGTGGATGCGGGGCCGGCGCCGGTCTGCTTGCGCTCAGCGGCCTTGAGAATCTGGTCACTTGGTAGGGTCAGCGAAACTCTCAGGCTTGCGGTTGCGTCACTGTCGGCGACGATCACCGAGGTGACTGCGAACCGTATGGCTTCACTCACTCCAGCAGGTTCAAACAGGCACAGCAAACGACCCACTCGACACAGTCCTCGTTCCCAACGCCGAGCGTCTGCCAAACCGCCTTCTCATCCTCACTCCTGCCGGTAATCGTGATGCGGGTGCCACCGCCCTTCTCGGGAGGGTTCTTCGACACCTTTCCAAACTCTACTCGCTTGGGCGGGATCTGGTGACCGGCGTACTTGAAGTAGAACATGGTCCACCAGTCGGCGTGAGGGTTCGGTTTCGAAATCTGATACAGTGGTGTATCATCCTGATTGACAATCTTGTAGGTTGGGTTCATGACACCAGTGTTCTCAATCGTCCACTTGAGGTCGCGCGACGCTTCACATCGCACCACATTGTGCTTGACCGACATGGTAGGCAGGCTAGCCGATGATGTGGCTCCGGTACGAGGGGGCGGGAAGAGTTTAGCAACGCACAGGTCTCCCTGGGGAGACGGAGTGAGAAGGTAGTTGACGCGGTTCTGGTCCAGTTAGCAATCTCTCGTGATCGAGGTTATGGTGTATTGTCATCATCTCACCTCCTCGGTATGCCTGCAATGTCAGCACGTTCTGCCGTCACACACGCGCGCGCGCTCTGGGGCGCTCTTTCTACTCACAGATACGTGTAAAGGATCTGGTTGGGCTGGCCTGGGAGCAGGTTAGCGTCGTCAGTCTCCCCAAAGGGCGGGCGCGAGAAGCGTACCATGAGGTGTAACAATCAACGTCGGCAGATGGTTGGGCATCGGCGCATGATGCGGTGATGTGAAGCTGGGAGGTCAGCGATGTCTCCATGTACCGCAGGGGCCGACGGCAAACGTACACCGTGTAGATGGCTTTAAGTGGTCTCGCCGGTTGTTGAGGCAGCGACGGTGGCCGTTCGAACGATTCGTTGTTGTCCATTGTTTAGAGTAGAGCGATCAGGAGTCCGTCGTCGGTTCGCCGAGGTCAAGTAAGTGAGTGGAATGGGTTTGCGTTCGCGGTGGTCGGGTGGTCAGAAACGAGGCGATAGAGTCAGCACCGTGGATGGGAGAGGGAAAAAGAGACACTGTCGTGCCAGACGTACCGGCCATGGTTGTAATGTGGTGCCGTGTGTCCAGGCGGGGGCAAGGGGACTGGGAGTGAGAGGCTCAGGCGTTGGAAGGCTTGGGCTCAGGCGTCAGCACGCGAGGGGGACAAGCGGCGTGGGTTGGACGTCGAGGGCAAAAGTGCGCACGAACCGCGCGTTGGGTGATGATTCGGGAGATAGTTGGGACAAGCGTCTGTGCACAACAAAGGGTTGGATGCAGGATGGCCGTGAGGAGACAAAGACAAAGGTTGATGGATGGTCGTGAGAAGGGATGGAGGAGACGGAGGGGTGGGGATCGGTGACAGGGAGAACGAGGGGGCGGAGAGGGTAGAAGTGTTTA